AAGGGACAGAACTTCTCTTAAAACGAGCCTTCCTCCAGTTCATCATCCTGTATTTACAGAGGGATGGAAACAGTGTAAAAAAAGAAGTTGTAGAAATGGGTGTGTAACATCATTTGCTATTGTTCTTGCCAGTCATGTGGGTGACTTAATACTGATGCTTCTATATGACCTAAAAATGCTTAAGACTTAGGAATAAGATTGATCATTTCTATATAGTTATTTTATACGGCTGTCACCTCTGTCACGGGGTAGGCGTCAGGATAAGGAGATTAGCAGCACGCAGCAGAAATAGCCTTTTTTTCAACACCAAAGATTCATCATGAGTTGCTCATTAGGAATTTTAAAATATAGAAAGCAAAAGAGATACTCTGTTTGCCTTGTCCCTTGACTTTTTTATTTTGCCCATATTAGATGGGACAGCTGACTAGAGACAGGAAGGGAGTGTGGGCTCACATTCAGCTTAGGGCCGAGGTCAGATTGAACCCACGGCCGCTGTGACGAGGACTACAGCCAACGTACTTGGGCTGCGCGACACAACCGCTAGACCATCTAGCGGCCCACTTTTTTGTTAATGTCCTGTTGGGACATTTTGGGAGCTAATCATGCTATTTTCCTTCTTTTCACTAAACTGAAGAAATTTAGTTTCTGGTCTATTACAACATTGGAACAATATTCCAACCTGTGTAAGACATTCATATGCCTGCACTTGAAACGTATAGTACCAGAGTTCCTTGAAAATTTAAAAATGAAAAAAAAAAGAAAACCACCCATGTTCTCTTTTAAAAAAAATCATAATACATCAACTTGATGAATGATAATTGTGATCAAACTTGGGCTTTCAAAAGTGTTGCAATCATGGATATATGTATCTTTCTTTCAGCCCAGTCAGTTTCAAAGTTCACTGAGCTCTTACTCGGTTTACAGTGAGAACGCCACATCTTTTGTTTGAAAAATGTGTCCACATTTACACAAGCCAGAGCCTGACATGGCAAAGTGAAGCAAATTGGAACGGTTGGCCTCTGCTGAACCATATTACTGGTGACCATATATCATTTTTTTTTATAGGTTACAAGTGAAGCACATCTGTTTCCACTCGGCCAAGTTTCCATACAAAACATTTGAATAGAGATTCTTCACCTATATCTGATGCTCCCACCTCCTGCTTGCTTGTTTAAACCAACATGTGTCTCATACATCAAACATGAGGACGAGTAAAAGAGAGTTTTGCCGCAGAAGAAGAATATTCCTGAAGAAGTTTGATCGCAGTGTAAAGAGGGCAAAGATTTTATTTTAATGTTTACACCATGACTCAGTTTGTTTTAAATGATTTGTTTATGTAGTGCGGTCATTTAACACTCAACTTATTTGACAGTTGTGCAAGCCAGAGCCCAACATGCCCACACCGGACCTTTGCTTTTTTTCTAATTTGATCTCAAAGCCCCTCATGTGTTTGACTTCTTTTTAATTGCTTCCTGTCTGCTAGGTCAATTATAAGTCCTGGGCCCTTTAAAGGATGGGCGGGGGTGGGTATATGTAGTAAAGGGGGGCAGACTATAGCAGCATATTTGAACAGACAGAGTGATTAAATAACTGAAATGATGAGATCACTCATTGGGATTTGATTTGATAGTATTTTACTCGGTGTGCCAGCTCACAGAATACATGTTAGTACACATTTAGACAGAAGCTGATTGCTTGGACTGCCTTTCTTTGGTCTGTTTAATGAAAAAAAAGGAGATAGACAAAGACAGCCGGACTCTTTTCTCCATAATTGATTTTTTTGGGTCAGATGCAAAACCAGTATAAATACCCCTGTGGTTTTGTATTTAACAGAAAGAACGAGCGCCCAAAAGATTAACCAGTAGAAAGCAAGAAAAACACACATAAAAACAGGTTTATTAACATAAAGTGATTAATTCAGTTTTAATTAACAACAACGGCAAAGCAGGAGCATCAAATTGTCTCTATCCATCTGTACTCTGTCTACTTTCAGATACTCAGTTACCTTTTAATGGTTGCATTGTAAATGTTCAAAAAAGACTGGCCACCATTTAAAATTAGCCATCTTCAGACACAACTTGTAAAAGACGTATAATAGAACTCATTGATGTATAAATAAAAGTCTCCATTAATGACTCCAATTGACTAAAGCAGTCAGCCGTCTTTTCATGTCTAAATCCAGAAAAACAAGCACGACTTAAGAAACACATTTCAGTAAAAGCTTTGAATAATATTTATTCCATCATGACCAGCAGGTTAAAATACAACACCCTCATACACAATTTACAGAGACGGTTCCTAGGTCTTTGAACATACAATATTAACATTTTAGTGCAACCAGTGTATTCAAAGAAGCCCACACAAGAGCTGCTATTTACCTAAATACGCTCTTCCTGGTTCAACCAGTGCAAAATCAGGGCTGCTCCTCGAGGTGCAGCACAAGTGAGGTCAAAACTCCAAGCTGCATGGTCGCCCATGGCTACATAAATATTAACCAAGTCTCCGCTGTGTAGAGAGGCCTTCTTTGATTATGAGTCTACTCCGAGAGTTTGATATCCAAGGAGACCACTAAAGCCAGCTTGACAAAATTGATGAGAGAATACGGAGAGTGGTTGTGATGTGGAGGAGTTTCACTCGGTTTGGGAACAGATCAAGCTGCAGGATTTCATGCAAACGTACCGAGGGACAGAGACGTACCTAGTTTCCAGTTCATGTACTTGGAGCTACACTTTGAACTTTTGCCTGGAGAGATATGACAGGGGGAACACACAAAAAGTATCCCTTTATCTGCACTTTGCACAGACAATTTAGTTAAAATTACAGAAGCATGTTTTAGGCAATTTAATCTATTTCAGTCACATCCATTAAGACAAGTGTTTAACACCAGTGAATTGTGTTAAAGTACATCTGTGTCAAGCTTTCCATTGAATAAGAGAAGAAAACCAACAAAAAAAAGGTCAAAAACACTTAATGAACAAATGATTAAGTGATCGAGCTTGGACGTGGCTTTGTTAATTGTGCTCTGAAGCATGTAACCTGTTCCAAATCTTTGTCCATCAGCACTAAAAGAAGCCTGATTTGTTGGGGTCGGCAGCAGTGGTCCTGTGACTGGTCATGTGTGCCCGAAATGTCAATCATGTGCAAATATTTTGGGAAGGAACCAATAAGCATTGTTGGGTTAACAATTGAAGGTTAAGAGGCAGGCTCGGAGCCACATGGGAAATAGGGGAGGACATGTTTGCTCTCACCATGGATGACTGAGGTCTGTCCAAAGCATCTGCCATCATTTTCAACTGAAATGAAAACAGGATACACTGCAGTTACATCTTAACTATGCTGCAAAGAGACACTAGGATTTTTGGTTTGTTTGCAGATAAAGACAGTATTTAGGTTTCACCAGTTGATGAATGATTACATGCAGTTTTTTTTTGCATTTGTAACACATGAATTTCATTAACACTTGCATATAAATAGTTTATGTGCAACTGCTGCAACTGGCCGCACGCACGCACGCACACACACACACACACACACACACACACACACACACACACACACGCACCAGGCAGTCTATAATTAGCAAAATATCATTAATCAATGGGTAATTTAAACTGAAATCTGTGCCTCCACATCTTTGAATTCTGTCTGGTTATGAATTGTAACAGTTCAGTAAATTATACTCATTCACAAGAACTGACAAAATAAGTCTAATGCCCTCTGTTGACAATCCGAGGAAACAGATTCAAATGAATTTCAGCAAAATGGCAGTTTCAGCTGTTCAACACTGCAGCCATAGAGACACCACACGTGTTTTTCGGTCTGGGCTTATAAATAAACATTTCTCCAGATATGGACGCCTGCCACTGGGTGACCTTTTATTACATCTGTTTTCTCTTCTTTGTCCCTTGCAAAAAAAAAAAAAGAGGGCTGTATTATTATGTAAAATTATGCTTATCAAAACATAAGTCTGCCCCTCTGCTGCGTTCACCTTCACCTGGCAAGCATGACTCAACTTCACATTTCCCCTCAGTGGGTGAAAGACAGTTTTTATTGAAGCCAGGTGTGTACCCACGTCCTGCCTGATAATGTTTCTGGACCAAATTCCTCGGCCGGATCATAACATGCTCCGAGTCTTCACCAAATGCAGGAATAAACATGAAACAGTTGTGACTAGCAGGCTTATTATATTATCAGATGGTCTAGTTTCAAAGATATAGGATGTGATAAAGAAATGAAAAACAGCCGCTGCACTGAAAATTAAGACATCAAACTTATAGAAAAAAAAGAGTATTTTTTTTGTGATGTCTTATTAATAAAAGCTAAAATTGTGTCTTATCATTCAGCTCTTTTCAAAAGGTGCATCATGTTGAAATATCTCACAGACTTTACAGCAGGCCTAACCGAACTAACTTAGCATGCAGCGCACATTAGAGTACAGAGGTCACAGCCACAGCAGCCTGTAAAATAAAAATGACCCCTTCTGCAGAATGATGTCATGAATCATGTAAAAGAAGTGTTCGAGGAAAGAAAGAAAAAAAAAAACACAATTGAGGAGAGATTCTCTCTTTCCTTTTTTTTGGGCAGCACACACACTTGGCTCTGCTGCAGCAGCTTGACCACTCCTGCCCAGGCCACTGTGTTATCCTCCTGTGAGGCCAACTGGATTGAAAGAGGGAGTTGGAGAAGTCTGTGCTTCCATGTTCACTTTGATGTTTGCTAGAATTACAGTAGAATAAGTCCTCTTTCATTGGTTGAATAGGCTGGACTGCCTACTGTGACAGAGCATGGGCCTCTTATGCCCAAAAGGAAGACAGTGCGAGCTATGAAAAAAATAAAAGGGCCAAAAAAATGAGGGGGCGTTTATCGATAAAGTCCTTTTCTTTCTGAGTGACGCAGATGAATTCCCGCTGGATAAGTAAAAAAAAAAAAACTAAAAAAAAAAAAAACTGAGTGGTTACTTCCGGGAATGATAATAAGTCAGATTAATCTACAGACTCCGAGTCAGCACGGATCCGGACTCCATGCCAGGTTTTACCGGAGCCCACCTTTCACAGCTCAGACAGCTCGTGCAGACGGCAGCTCGTGCTCTCTCTCTGCACTGGCGCTGTTTACTGGAAGCCCCGCTCGCGCCGCTTCCTCCAACTGTCTCAACAACACTATGAGCGGGATCTTCTCCACGCGCGACCGCTGAAAACTTCCTACCCACTAAAGTCCTCACTGTCTCACTCACCAGGAGCCAGGAGAGAAGTCGCCCAGCGGAGACAGCTTTGAATTCTCCCTCACTTTTTAGCAGACATTGAAAGCCCCACACTCTGTGTCTCTGTCTGTCCCTGAGTGTGTGTGTGTGTGTGTGTGTGTTTGTGTCACACTCAGCGGCTCCTGGGTCCCTGAGCACCGCTTCTCTCTTCTTCGTGTGTGTTTCGTTGCCGCCGCCGCCGCCGCCGCTTCTGCTGTTGCTCCGGGAGTGAGAGCACCTAAACAAGACGAGTCAGGACTGACTAAAGCAACACATTGCCGGGTCATGGAAGTGTGTGGTGTCCGGTGCAGGAGCGGGATGTACGGGATGAGAGGGGGACCTGCCGCCTGGTAGCCAGCATCACCGCGTCTTGTCCCAGAGAAAAAGGGAGCATGCCTCAGACCTGCAGACTCTTTGCTGCAGAGGACTGTCTTTCCACAATCTGACTTTTTTTAAATTTTATTATTATAATTTATTATTCAACTCTCATCCCTGTTGACTTCATTTGAGCCTGTTTGGCTTCACTGCTTTGAGAAAGGTAAGATGCATTTTTTTTTGTATATACCGTGTGGTCACACTAAATAAATCGGAGGCTAAGCAGCAGCTTATTTTGACAAGTTGGTGTCGCGTAGAGTAACTTTTATGTCTTTGCTTACTTCAGATTTGGTACCGGGACTCATTTAGCCTAAATAACACAATGGGAGAAGTCCAAGACTTGCTTTGTACCTAAGCTACTTTGAAAAGGGGGTAAATGTCAAATGTAGTTCAATAAACAACTATAATTCTACTATAAAGTACTATAAACTATAAAAAAAACAGCATTAGTTTTTTGTTGTTTGCTAAATTGAAAAGGGATCAATCAAAACATAACCAGATGTGATTGATTTGTTCGGCTGCAGACTTTGCCTGAATGGAAACTATTAAAAAAAGTGGAGGGGGGGAGGCAGCGTGTATAGACTATACGTGAACCAGAACATGTTGGCTTACAGCAGCATTTAATAGGAATGCATGTCCTCAAAGTTGTAGTTAAGTTGGTGGTGCTGGTCACCAAGGCTTTTTTTTTTTTTTTCTTTCTTTAAATCCACTGACGGTCTTGTTGAATAGGGATTTATGCTGGGGAGCTGTGACCTGAGAAAACGACGTCGGCGTGATTCTTGAGAGCATTCACAGGCTAATCCATTATAATTGGGGCTAGACTATTTGTCCAAAGAGGAGAAAAGAAAGGACAAAACAGTCCAGTCTCGCCTACCCATGTAGTAATTACTCTTGTCCGAAGAGAGACAGAGTTTATAATGATGCAAGAGGCTACAAGCACAGGGAAAGTCATGGAAATCAATCAAAGCGAGGGATAAATATAAAACACGCAGAAAAGAGGACGGTTTTGGCTGCCTAGACTTAACTCAAAGCCAGTCGGCGCAGAGTGGCAGTAAAATTAGATCCTCTTACTGCACATTTATTATTTAGGCCTACCGATTCAAAAAGCGTCTTGTCAACCATGTGTTAAAGTAGGCAACAGAGGCGCACACGCGGTGCGGTGTGTGCTTATCTCCCGGCCCGAGAAACACACACAGCGGCCAGCCAGCCGGTGATGCACGGCAGCCTGGAGCACAGCAGCTATCTCCAGTGATCGATCAGTGGATTGGGATAAATTTAGCTCCAGCCTCCACATGCCCTCAGCTTTTTTTTCCCTTTTTTTTTTTTTAAGCTTGTGTGTCTGGTTTTTAAAGAGAGTGAGCTACAAATTCCTGTCTGGAGTCTATGAATGTGTCTCATTTCTGTGTTTGTTCTTCAACACATTTCATCTGTACTGCCTATGACAGCAATGCACTCTTTAAATGACAGAAGTGTTCAGTTTTGTTTTTTAATCGAATATGTTTTCCAAATGATCTAATGCAACAGTCCTGATTGAATAGGCACAGTCGTCTTCTTCTAAGGCTTTATATATAAGTGAGATAAGGAAAACAAAAGAATAAACCAAGTGTTTGCAGGATGAAGTGGGTTTATCTCCCTCGCCCACCAAAACAAAGTGACATTCAGCGAAATACAAAGGCGGTCTATTTGTGAACAAGTGTGGAGTTTTTAGGAATATATGAGAAATAAGCTTTCTTGCATGCTTTATCTCTCTTCAGGATACACGTCTCAATCCAGCCCTCTCTATTGGAGGACTCTGTTTTTCACGTGTTTGTGCGTAAAAAAAAAAAAAAAAAAGCTTGAATTAATGCAAGTGCAAATTCCAGCTGTTTGGGAGGAACATATTAGCATATCAAAGTGTCCAGAGCCCTTCCACAATGGAAGGAGTCGTATTTTCTGCCACTGGCTTTGGCTGAGCCTTAAAGGCTTGAGAGTGAGTGTGTGAGCTGCTAAAACTGAAAGACTTGTGTATCTCCTCTCGTTCCTGTAAGTAGGTCCGTATGACATCTTGTGTCTAACATAATCTCACTTGTATTTTTTTTGTGCGCTTGGATGTAAGATGGTGTCAAAGCTTTCACACGATAGAGTAATTGTACGGTGACAAGCGAAGTTGTGTGGTGGTGAAAATCACTTGGATTTTAGTCGCAAAGTAGCAAACGATTAAAAAGACTTAAACACACATTATGCAGCATTGCTTTTTTTAATTATAAAAAATGGAGGGCAATATTTTCGAAATACTGATTCAGTTTAACAACCCAGTGTATTAATTGTCAGTGTAAATTATGAAACTACTTGCATATGCGGATGAAAGTCGGTGAAGCTCAATGTTTGACATATCTACCTGGAGCATGCCATTATGGGCATCTCACTGGTAAATCCAGCGGGCCAAAGTCCCTTTTTTCAGTCTATATTCTTGTTTCAGTGGAAGTGCGTCCCATTTCAAAGAACTGCAGCTGCTCTTGATCTACCAGGGCTCCAGATTACCCCTCTTTGCTGGTGTGTTCAGATCGATACAGACCAGCACACTTCTGTATGTGTTTTGGGGCAGACAGCGTGCTACGTATCACTCTATTCCCAACTCTTTTATATTGCACTCTTAAAGCAAACGCTACTCTTAGGTCTCAGTGAGTGTGATCGGTGTGAGTGGGTGTGAACGCATCCAAATTTTTGACATTACAGACTGTTGCTTCATATCCTACTGCCGTGTGTTCCCCCCCACTCTAGAAACAGCAGCTGAGGTTCGTCTGCCTGGTGCATTAAACAGATCATAACGCAGCTTTCATAGCCTCTCCACATTTTAAAATTCTCACAACAAGCCAGGCACTTCCACTCCAGCTTTATTAAGGTAATTTGTTATTGATTTAATTCAATGCTAGCGCTCGCACATTGAGCAATGGCAACATTTCCTCACTTTGTTTTTGTGTCGCACTCTCTCTCTCTCTCTCTTTAAAGTGTGGAGATCAGCCTGTTGTCTTTGTCACAGCAGCAATTGGCGAGTCCATATGATTGATTTAAAGGTTGCATTGTGGCTGAATGGATTGTGTGTGCTAACGTTGCACTGTGGGGATGTAATCCTTTTCTTCTGGTTGAGCGTTCAAGCTCATCTCTTTTTTTTCTTCTCCCGAGCATCGCAGTCTTTGTTGCCAAACAGTGTGTGAGGAACAAGCACCCATTTCAAGTTGCGTTTCTTAGAAAAGGACGCGTTAGCTGTTCCATAGCATTATCGTGCAAACGAGAGAGGTTGTGAACGCGTCAGAAGAGAGTTAAAGCATCAAGATTTACATGCCTGTATTTATTTGGCGTGTAAACTGTGGGTTTGTGTTTGCAGATGCAATCTTTTCTGTTGCTAAACCACCTACATGGAGCCATACTGTGCGGATAACTGCTGCCCATTAAAGGGAAGAAACAAGGCTGTAAAAGAAAGCTAGGGCAAATTTGATGTAACGTACAGGCCTTTGGAGGGCCAAAAAACCTCCCCTTTCATGACTGATTTTATTTTACGATTGGCAATCAGTAAAATGCTGTGCACCAGCGTGCTCCCTTCCCTGCCATTTTGTGAAACATTTGTTTCCACTTGCCAAAGGCCTCTGGTGCAGCGTGGGATTCGGTGTCCCTGAAATGGCAGGTGAAACTTTCTGCTTGCCTAAATAATTTCCTAGCAGAGCATTACACAGCAAGGACATAGGCGGTGAAAAGGCGAGGGTCAATTCAGACTCTTGTCCACGAGAACAACATGGATATTAGCCGATGGCTCCGCCATCGCTCTCTGGTTAAATGGCAGCCTCCCTGAGAGTATTTGGCATCTCTTTGTCATTCTGTGCTTCTCTGAAAGGTGTTTAGAAGAAAAGGGAAGTGCAAAGTGCAAAAGTGGGTCATAAAAAAACTGTCCTCTGGTCATAAAACGATTGGTTGTAACGTATTGGCCTGGTTTCTGATCGTATAGCTTCTGCAAACACAGGGTGTGTTTCAGATAGGAAGTGCAATGCGTTATTAGCAGTGTGTGTTTAGGGCACGCCCAAAGCAAATAAAAGAAATACCTGCAAAAAGCGTTTTGTGAAAACAACTTCTTTTGAAACATAATGTTGTTTCACTGATTATCATGAACACTGAGCCTTACTTTCTAACATCTGTACAATTTTAAAGCATACAAAAAAATTAATAAACATATTTATAATTATTAAAAGATATCAAAAATATATTCACAATTACATTTTATCTACTTTAAAAAAAAAAAATTGTGACACACACACACACACACACACACACACACACACACACACACACACACTGACCCATTCTGTGGGCTTTGTGAACAGGACTCGTCCTTATCTGTGCACAGCTGCAACACTATTTGGGAGAATATTCCATTTGTGTGTGACAGAGGAGAACCTGGGAAGCGAGGCTCTGAGCAAACAGCAGTTATTGCGGCTCTGCCATAGCAGCCGAGAGCAGGGCCTGGCTGGGAGAGAGGGGGGATCTGCGGACGTCTGCCAGGGGAAGGAGTAATGTCTCGGCTGGATTAAAGGAGAGCGGAGCACATCCATGCTTAAAAGCCCCTTTTCCAACAAGACAGGGCTGTTATTTAGTGATGTTGAGGGTAAACACACCAGAGCAATATATTTCCTCCATATAGGCTGCTGCTGTCCTTGACTCCCTGCAAGTGTAAGTTACCCAGTATACTTTTTCCCGTTTTTTACTTAAGTAATTTCATGTGTGGCTGTGAGTGTTCTTCGGTGTATTTAGAGTGAAATTATTCCAGCAAAGTGGGAGTTTAGTAAGAAGAGTTTAACATCAGAATGTTTTTTTTTTTTTTCACTTCTGAGTGTTTTTTTATTTATTTATTTTTCCTCCTTCAGATGTAGCTGGGAAATGATCTACATATCGTTTGTGTTGGATTAAATACTTTTTGGTCTTTGGTGTAATAATCTGCCAAATAACTGGATGCGAAATTTCAAAGCGCGTGAGATAGCATCAGCAAGACGTAGCAACATCACACTAAAGCTATAAAAAAAAAAAAAAAAGTATGTCTTTCAATGGGAGAAAATGGAACCAAGAGTGTGTTATGATTTGGGAAAAGATGTTTTTAAGTAGTTCTTTTTTTTTTTATCAGTGTTCATGTGATATATT